TCCTCCGCGGCTAGCTCTGAAGATTCTCCGGGAGAAACGTATTTATTGTTGAACGCCAGGGGCCCGTCCAAAAGGGAAAGACCTGAGAAATTTAGGTGGTTCTTTTAAATGTGAAGAAAAAAATATGAGACGGGGGGTAGGGAGATCCGGGTGCGGAGAGATTCTGTTGGAACCTTTTCAGAGCAGCTGCGGGGCGGGGAAGGGGAAGGAAGGGGTTTTTTTGGGGGGGGGCGACTGTAAATGTCTGTGAATAGGAACGGAGACCGGCGGTGTGAAATGCACTTTTTTTTTGTTCAAGCGTCCCCCTCCTCCCTAGCTGTAGGTCGTCTTGCGGAAAACCCCATTTCTCTCTCTCTTCCCCCCCCCGCTTGTTTTGTGAACTGCTTAAGTTAAAGGGGGGGGGCACAGACTTAAAGACGTCGACGCGTTCAGTTCGGACTGTTAAGAAACCAAGGGCGGGATCCTCCCCGTCCTTCCTGTACAAAAGCGAGCATGAAACCTTTAAAATATTAATAATATCCTTGTTCCCGTCTCCCGCCCCCAGCATGCCTGGTTGGTTGGTTGGTTTGTGGTTTCTTCTTCTCCCCCCCTCCCCGACAAAAGTTTGTTTGTTCGTTTTTGTTTTTTTTTAAAGAAGTGTCTACGTTAAATTATGAAAGTTGCCATCCAAATAATATTTTCACATTAAAAAAGATGTAAAGCCGGAACAGACTTTTTTTTCCTCCTCCGTCGTCTTTTTGAGGGACAGTCAAACGAGAGTCTTGTGTCGTGGTCAAGAGGATCGGAATACCCAAGGGGAGGGGACCAGTGTTCCCTCTAAGCTGAGTGAGGGTGAGCCAGCTCAAGGTTCTGTAGCTTCCGGCTCACACATTTTTGTCTTGGCTCGGGAAGGAGGGCTCCGAAGCAAACCGATTTATGCAGCAGCCAAATCGCTTGCGCACAGCTTTAATGCCGGTAGCTCACAACGTAGGATTTTAGCTCACAGGACTCCGCAGCTTAGAGGTAGCATTGGAGGGGGACCCCCCCCAATTAGTGTTCCTTCTAAGCTGCGTGAGTGTGAGCCAGCTCATAGTTTTTTAGCCTCCGGCTCGCACATTTTTTTGCCTTAGCTCAGGAAGGATGGAGCTCCAGAGCCAACTAATTGATGCAGCAGCCCAATCGCTCGCTCACCACTTTAATGCCAGCAGCTCACAAAGTAGAATTCTGGCTCACAAGACTCCACAGCTTAGAGGGAGCGTTGCCCCCCAATTCGAAAAGTGTTTTTTCTTAAGATGGTCCCCCCTTTTCTTCCGAGGCGGGAAGCACCAAGAAAGCCCCCCTTCGGCATCACGCCCCTGATGCGCATTCGAGAGGTGCGGTCGCAGTCGATTGCAGACGTGCCATAAGAAACGCAGATCGGAGGGTTTCGTGTTCCCGTTCATTGGTCACAGTCGAGATGGTCAATTAACATTCCCGAGACGAACAGGTGTTTGTTGGCTCCTTACAAGGCATTGGGGGGGGGGGAATGGCGACGATCCAGCTGAGACCGACAAGTAACCTCATGGATCCAACGCAGAATCGTGTGTGTGGTGGGAACTGTTTTAAAAACAATTAGAGATGTTTTCAAGCCTCGCCTTCGTTCCATCGGTCTGAAGGCGTTCCAAGGTTTGGATCTCGCCCCGGCTGGTAGGGGCTCAAGGCCATAATCTTAAGGAAGGAGTAAACCCCATTGAACTCAGTGGGACTTACTCGCGAGGAAGCCGGCATCGCTGGAAAGGCCCTTTAGCAGAGCCGGAAAGCCCCCTTTTCCTTATCTTCGAGGGGAATTTGGTCACGGCTGATTTTGGGCTGGATTGTCCCTGGGTTTTTTTTGCTGCAGCGGGTTTTGTCTCGGTGCCAACCCCTGAGACCACACACACACACTGAATAATCCACTTTCAAAGCGCTTCCCAACCGGATCTTGCCAATTCACGCAGGAAAACCCAGTTGGAAGTGGATTGAAAGTGGATTATACAGTGTGCGTGTGTGGTCACAGCCTCTCACTTCCAGAAAGTCCGGCTGTGCAAAGATGCGCATCGAAGTCACCATCAACCTCGAATGCGTATTTAACATCCGCGTCTGCATCAGCCAAGGAATTTTGTGGGTTGTGTTGTGTATCTATATCGCAAGGCCAGGCATGGTTTGTTTGTCTGTTTTTACACTGGGCGAGATTGCGAATCTTTCCCCACAGCAGTTCTGGAATGACTGAACTCCACTTCGGATGTCTATTAATGGCGAGGCGTTCTTCCGAATCGGAGAAAGCAGAAATTCTTCGCCAGTCCACGACTCCTTTCTGTCTCTGGCTGAACCGAGAGCAGCGGCTTGAGTCTTCTGGTCTTCCTCCAAAGGGATTTCCCGGGTTCTAGGTTCGGCCCGTCCTAGGTCGGTGGAACGAGAAGGGAACCGGACGGATCCCGCTCAACCCATCTATTTCGGAGCGGTTCCGGAGCAGGGCGGTCGGTCTGCGAGAAGCCGGCGTTCAGAAGTCTCCACGCCCCACCGAGCCGCCAAAATGTAAGGGATCCCCACCCCCACCCCACTGTTTTAAAGTTAAAGCAATTTTTAAATATACATATTGGCAGCAACGCTCCCTCTAAGCTGTGGAGTCCTGTAAGCAAAACTTCTACTTTTGTGAGCTGCCGGCGTTAAAGGTGTGAGCCGGCGATTTGGCTGCTGCATAAATTAGTTTGCTCTGAAGCCACCCTTCCTGAGCTAAGACAAAAATGCGTGAGCCGGAGGCTAAAAAAACCTGTGAGCTGGCTCACACGAACTCAGCTTAGGGGGAACACTGACTGGCCGTTGTTTTCCTTCCCTCGTCTTCTGCAAGCCCAAGCAGTGTTCCCTCTAGGCTGAGTTTAGTGTGGGCCAGCTCACAGTTTTTCAGCTCCCAGCTCACCGATTTCTGTCTCCGCTCAGGGAGGAGGGCTCCAGAGCGAACTAAATGACGCAGCGGCCCAACCGCTCGCTCACAGCTTTCATTCCAGGAGGTCACAGAGTAGACTTTTTGCTCACAAGACTCCACAGCTTAGAGGGAGCATTTGGGCCCAACGCCGGTCCCTTTATTTCCCTCTCCCAGATTTGCAAATTGGGGGGTGGGGGAGAGAAGAGGAAAGACAAGCGAACATTTCTCATCTCGGAGGCTCTAGGAAGGAAGGGGGGGGGGAAGGCGAATCAAAGCCTGTCGGAAGGGGGGACAAACGACCCCCCCATCTAATGAGGCCCACCCAGGATTAGAGGCCCCGATCTGCCGAGGGAAAGCGCCGGGTCTGGAAAGCCAGCCACCCCCGCCCAGGGCCTTCCACGGTTTCTGGCCAAGAGCCCTCCATGAAAGCAGGGGGAGTCCCCCCCCTGAAAATGTTGCCTAACCCGCAAAGATTCGTGTCGACCGCCCTCCGGGGGAAGAGGCGGGCCTTACTTCCGAGGAGAGGGCAAACAGTCCATCCACCGATGCGGCTCGGTGGCCCCAGAGATGATAATCCGGATTCTCCCCCCCCCCCCAAAAGCTGAACCTCTTGCTGGCCGCTCAGGCGCTCCTGGATTCGAATCTAGCGGCCCCCCTAAAGGGGCTGCTTGGCTGCTTGCATCCAAGGAGGCTTGTCTTCCGGCTCGACCGCCTGGTTTGGTTTTAAATTGGGGGGGGGAGGGCCTGCCATCTCCTTAAACCCACAAACCTGCTCGGAGGGAAGCCCCCCGGCCAGGCTGGGGACCGGGGAGGGGGAGGCCTGTCCCCCTTGACGCACCGACTCGGGAGTAAGCCCCTCGACACAGCGGCGGACTTTACCGCCTTTTAGAACCGGATCCCACCGCCGCGGCACCGAGGCCTGGGGGGGGGGAGGGGGTGCGGCGAGCCAGTCGGCGGCGCCCCCCCCCCCGTCGAGGGTGGGGCGCCCAAGCGGGCGGCCCCCCCCCCCCAGTCGCTGCAACAGGCGGTCCCGATCCGAGGAGCCTGAACGAACAGCGATCCAGGTTTCCGTGGGATGCCGGCGCCGTGGGGGAGAGGGACTGGGCTCCCCATTTCGGGCTTACTTCCGAGGAGACCGGGCGGGCTGGCGGTCTCAGGCTCGATCCGCGGCGGGTATCTGGGAGAGAGCAGGAGGGGGAGGCGCTCGGGGATTCGTGCACAATGGAGGAACCCGCGAGAGAGTTTCCCCGCTACACTCGCGTTGGCCTGGGAGTGCTCCTTTGCTAGCTGATTTTAAACTTTCCTTCCTTCCTTCCTTCCTCTCCCTCCTTCCTTCCTCTCCCTCCAGATCGGA